CATACTATTGCTTTCCCCAAAATGCAATATGATCAATGTGTATGTATCTCCAAAAGCAAAATATTTTTTTATGTTCACTCTTCTTAATCAATTCAAATGAACTATTTTGTTTCCACTTGTTCATATAATTGTTCTAGTAAAAAGCCAGTGATATCAATTATAAGGTCTTATATCTCAATAACTTTGGATGGCAGAAATATTTCATTGTTTATTTTTATTTCATTGTATATTTCTTCCTTACCTTTTCCCTCCTTGTTTAAATAAGAAAGTTTAATAACTCAACAGAAAAAATTCAAATATATGGGTTGGTACAATATCATCAGGGAACAGTAAAATCCAAAATATTTTTGACCTTATAGAGGGGTTTGTTCCTATATTTCCAATCTTGAAAAGTAAGATATATATATATATATATCTTGGACTGAAATTTCCAAGGTTGAGATTCAAACTGACCAATCAGAGCCTTGAACGCCCTTATTAGGGTCTCCTTATTAGAGTCCTAAAAAAAGAAATGACAGGACGATATTTAAGCAATCATAAGGGCTTCTTGAAGAAATGATTGGTAGGGAGCTATGAAGGTTCCTCTTTGATAAGTCTTCCTGACAAGTGATTCATTTTTTTGATAAAGAAGATCTCTCCAGGGAAGAGTTCCATCTATGACAACCATTTCATATAATCATAAGCGAACTTCAAATTTTGTGTGACAAGCATGACTACTGTCTGAACCACAAGAGAATCAGACAGTTTTCTCGCATCATCTCTACCACTAGTTCCGGTTCCATGAAGCCAGAAATATCATATCTGGAAAGGTGGAATTTAAATGCTATAACAGAAAGTAGTTTTTACCATGGAAAATATATATTTGGGAAATAAATAGAACTATTATTCTTAGCCCTTGCATCAGAGATAACACTATAGAAATCTAAGCTGAATTTCACACGATGGACAGTTTCTTCTACATGTATGTTTATTTTATTCCAAACATATTATTTAATTCTCATTCAGAACTCCAATCCATTTATGAAAGGCAATAATTAAAGCTTGTTATCATTGTCTAATTCTTCTTCTGAAGGAGGAAAAAAAATCCAGAGTGAATAGTTCTGCTTTGAATTTATTCATCTATAATTTCAGCATTATCAATCATACTGTGCATTTCTCAAAAAGCTCAAAATCTTTTATGCAAAAATAATTTTTACAAGTATACTTATCAAATAGGAAAGTTGCACGTGGGAAAAACAACAATGCTATTGCTGATGTGGAACTATACTAAATTTCTTTGTACTCGAAAAATTGCAGTACTTAAGCGTTTTTGATTTTAAAACTGCTGCACTCATAAACAAGGTAATCATTTTGTCAAAATGATGCAAACAAAAAAGTTTTAACAAAGAGTGTTCAAGGTAACGACTTTGACAACATATTTAGTTCATGCAAATTACATCTGCTTAATCTTACTTCATTTGGTTTTACTGTGTCCCCAGATTTTGGACTGTCAAATATAATTTTCAAAAACAAATGTTTACACATTCACTTTTATTTATTTTAGGTCTAACGGATCTATGATTTTCAAAAATCAAAGTGACCATTAGATGGTAGTAAGGAGAAACAATAAACTGCAATTCTTTGCTGTCCTCTAGTGAATATCTAGATATTTGAACCTTAGATTTGGCACCTCTCACTTCCTTATTTTGGAGTGGGTGGGTAGATCACTTAGACAAAGTACATAAATCTCAAGTTGCCAGTGCACAAACCAAGGATACAGCTATTGAAACATCCAGCTCTTTCTTCTGTAAATCTTCTGTATAACTTATCTCTGTTCCCAATTTATTGAGAACAATAACGTGCGGTGAGCTTCATGGCCGGTGAGGCAAGCGTGAACGCCCCGCTGAAGCCCCGGTGCCGCGTCTGCCATAGAGTGGGACCGGGGCCCGCTCTATGGCGGATGGCGCCGGGACTTTAAAGTCC